CAAACACCACAACAAGTGACAATGAGAAACAAAAAAGGTGAGACCAAAGCACAACCACCTTCAGTACAATATATCAGCTCACCAATGCAAACACCAAAAGTAAGAAACTTCACAGGAATCATTTGTCCTCATGAAACTTCACAGGAATCATTTGTCAACATACAAAAACAATTCCTTCTACTTCTGGCAATAAGCTCAGAGAACAGAGAAGGCCCAAATAACATCAAACCGAATCCAATATCCTTTTGTTTGACTTCAGCTAGAAATTAGTAAGTCCAAGGGAAAAACAGTCACAATTTTAACCCAAGGGCACATCTGCAACAGTGTACACTACAGGGGTTGCAATTTAAAAACGATACCACAGAGAGTATATGCAATTAACCCTTACATATTAGCTACAATCATTCGACAAAGCAGCAAGCTATATCAAATGACAATGAGAACCGAAAAAGGTGAGACCAAAGCACAAGCACTCTCAGCACAATATCACGCTTGACCTGCGAAAAAAAACCCCATAACATTGACATTAGAAAAGCCTGAGACTGCTTATGAGAAAAGCACACTGGATATGATCGTAAAAGGATTTGGACAAGAGAAACAATAGCACCTGGTGAGACAAAGCTACATAAGAAAAGGAGTAACTCGCATGAAAGCTATTGGAATAATATAGATTCACTTTACCTATCACCATAGATATACATCAAAGACAGGCATTAAGCCCTTTATTCATGGATAATTTTAATTTATGAAGCAAATACAGGATGAGGCTCCTATGTTTTTGTTGTTGACTTATGCTATCTTATCAGTAAATGAGCTGAGAGAAAGAATAAGTTTTAAGTAGAAAATGGAGAAGCTTCTGGATTTAAAGATTCAGAGTAGCAGGACCTGGGATGTTTGTAAGGTAACTTAATAAAAATTTGAGAATTTAAATGGTGGAGTTGAAGCCAAAGAAAGTATCAAAAGGCAAGTGTTTTTGCTTTCTGGTATCAATCAGAGTCATCCATAATTATGTTGATATTGTGGATATTTAGTGTGCAAGCCAAGATAGTTGAAGTGGAGTGGTTTTTGAAGTACGGTGTGACTTAGGACAGCCGCAAATTCCAAAATGACACTAAAGATTGCATAAATTCCAAAATTGGTTTTTTGATTTGCTGTTCATATCCATAGTAACACTCTGGGCTCTTGGAAAAGAATACTTGCATTGTCTTGTATTTATTTTTAATCTTGATTGTGAATGGCCTTATTTGTAGTCAAAACATCACTCATATTTGAGGGGACTTTAAGTCAGTCTAAAACATATTTGAGGGACTTTTCAACCTAATCCCATCTGTTTGACTTGCAATAGCAAGTTTTCAACAGTTCTATTCTCAATAAATGACATAATTTATCTTGAGAACTCATAAGTATAGATTATAATTGATAACAAATGCTAGTACTTTTAACTCCAGCTGGGGAGTTGAGCATGCATGATGGTTTCATACTAGTAACTATCAGATGTAAATGACCTATCACGATTCTAATTGATAACAAGTTTTTAAGACATTTATGCATGATATTAGGAATTCCCATTGTGGATGGAAAAGGCGAATTCCTAAGTTTGGATTCTATACATTTCCGCTACCTGATAGTCGTTAGGGTTGGACGTACGGTAATCTTTCTATCCAATTGACAAACTTGTTGAAACGCGTTCTTATGGAACATGAACGTGGATCTGGGTGTTTCTCTTCTTAACTTTTATTTTGTGAAAAAGTATGCTGGATATGTGTGTATATTTGTCACATATTTACATATATATCTCTTTCGACACCCAAGAACTCATATATTCAGTTTATTAACCCGATTACTCATCAAAACATGTAAGTTTCCTATGACCCAAAATAAGAAATCACGACATAACAAAATTAAAATAACAGTAAAATTACCTGCAATTGTTGACGGATGAGAAGGCAATCAGAAGAGCTTGAAGAAGTGCTCAATTTGCGGCTTGGAGTTCTTACTGAAAAGAAAAAAGCACACAAACCAGAATTAGCAGACCTATATGGCTAATCACATAAATGAAAAGACATAACTTTTGAACGCTTGGATGTAGCTCTGAGATTTTCTAGCCTTATGGGTTTAACAAATAGCACATTAGAAGACCTATATGACTAATCACATAAATGAAAACTTACAACTACCTTGCTCGACATGAACATTTTTAACCGTTACAACACCTACAATGAGAACTCTAACTAGAACAAAGATTTAAGATTTGTGAAGAAAACGAAATAACTCATTGATATCAGGCATCCTCACTACATGAATTAAATTAAAGGAAGGTCATGGCAATAAAATCAACTAGCTTTTCACATATGTTAGAGATCTAGCATAGTATCTTTGAAGAGATCCAGCATGACATCTCCCTCTTAATCTCACATTTGCACAGTAAGTTTCATGTTCTTCTCTTTAGATGTCATCATGAAAAAACCTCCATAAATCATAAGAGCATACGAAGTAAGCATATGAGAAATATGAAGTAATAGCGAAAAAGGTTCTGTTACGCAGCTTTCGAGAAGATTTGAAGCATATGAGAAATATGTTGGCACTGTCATATCCTAACGTGGAAATCAAGCATTAAGAAAAGGTACTGTTACAAGACCAGAGCTAAATGCTACATGTAAGTGGTGAACAGACTTTATTCAATGACATTCAAGAAAGGCAGCAGCGTGATGATCAAAGTGAAAACCAAGGATGCAATTAATAGAAAGGGTACTGTTACAAGACCAGCATAAATGCAACCTGAATTAAACTGAAGAATCAGTGAGAAGTGAGTTGTTGCCAACTCAAACAGTCGTGGCATCCACCATACCATCAAGTTCTTATTCCACAAGCAAAAAAAAAAGCATCACTCACCTATGACTAGAATCACCCGCATCAAGAAAATGTAGGATCTAAAAATGTTGTGGATTAAAAAAGGCAGATATTCTTACCACATCTAGGAGTGGGTTAAAAACTGTAATTAGAGGCAAATAGAAACTTCTAAAAGCAAATGTTACAATCTCTTCTGCCAAAATGACAATACAAGGCATTTCGTGCAATTATTGTCAAGTGGAAAGAGCACAATAGTAGTGCTTCTACTACTGTGAATGTGCATGATTTTACTTTTAGAACAAGCAAGGACCCCTCTTGGTCCCACAGGATCCGAAAGGGCTACTTTCATTTGAATGCAGTCAGCACTTGAAGCATAACCTTAGGTTGAGGAAGCCCAAAGAATGTAA